ATGAAAAGAACAACATCTACAAACCAACTTAATCTTTTTTCCAAGATGACCTATAACTATTAATGATCACTCTTTGGATTTGGGCATTAGATCAGCCACCTGTCCTGAAGTCTAGTGCACATCTCTTCATGCTCTCCACAAGAACAGTATAAGAAACTTTGTCTAAAATTGTACTAAAAACTAGGCAGAGAATATTTACTGCAGCAGTCCACTCTCCCTCAACTCTCGTGTGAAAGACTATTAACTTTATCAAAAAAAAGGAAATAAGGTTAGTCTGACACACATGTTCTTGAGAAAGCCAGGCTGATTTAATGTAATCACCATTTCTTTTTTCTAGATGTTCACTAACTTTCCCTTTCATAATATCTTCAATGACTTTGCCAGGAGAGTCAAACTCACTGATTTATAAATTGCTGACTCCACTCTCTTTCCTGTTTTGAAAATTATTCCAACATTTACCCTTCTCTGAGGATGCAGCAGTCTTCAAATTTTCTATGATCTTTCAAAGATCCCTGCCTGGGATCAGAAGTCTTATCTGCCAGGTTTTTTTTCCCCCTTTCAATATTTTGGGATGTGGTTCACTTAGCTCTGTTAAGGTCAGATAGATGTTGTCTTATATCTCCCTCCTTAAGGTGGGTTTCAACACCTAGGTGGCCATTTTTTGTTTGGTTCTTTCTAGTTCAAAGATTGTTCTCTTTGACACATAAAGCAGAGACAGAATAAGAGCTGAGTAATTCTTCCTTTTTTTCATGGTTTATCTTCCCATTACACCTGAACGATAGGTTATGCTCCCTTTTTTAATCTTTTGTTTTCCCCAAAAAATTTATCTTCGTTTCTCCCCACTCCACCCCCACCACGTTTTAGTCTTTAGCATTCCTTGCCAATCTCAGCTCATTCTGAATACTGTCCCTCATCTCTTGCCAAAACTTAGCCCTGAATGACTTCAACCATCCACCTCCTTGGCTTCTACTCACAAGTGGGTGAAGGCGACTACAGAAAATATCACAACTGTGCCGATTGGGTACGTTACAAATTCATGGTAGCCAACCTCAACTGGGCCTTGACTGCAGTAGGGTGGACCTTTTATTTCTCTCTAATTGATTCTCTGTCTCACTCTCCACCGAAGCTATTCAAAACTTTTTCTTCCCTCTTTTAGTCTCCCTAAACTCCCCTTTCCTTCCCTCTCTTAGCTAAGGACCTTGCCTCTTACTTCCCTGAGAACTGAGGTTCACTTTTCTTCCATTCTCTTCATCTCAAAACCTCTTGACATCATCTTCCACTCTCTCCTCCTTTCCCCAAAACTCTGAAAAAGACGTGGATTTTCTCTTTGCCACGGTCGAATCCACTACCTGTACATATGATCTCATTCCCACCCACCTTCTCCAGGAGACTGTATCCTCAACAATACTCCCTCTTTTAAACCTTCAACCTTTCCCTATTTATTGATTCCTCTTCTACTGTCTTAAAACATGCCCAAATCTCTCTCCTCCCTAAAAGCCTTCCACTAGACTCTACTATTCCTTCAAGCTGTTGTCCTAAATGACTCCTCCCTCTCTCAAACTCCTTGAAAAAAGTTGCCTATAATGACTGCTTCTGCTTCCTGTTCCCTCCATTTCTCCTCAACTCTCTGTGATCAGATTTCTGACCTCACCACTCCAACTGAAACAACTTTCTCTCTCTTAACGGCCAAATCTGATGATCTCTTCTCAATTTTCATCTTTCTCAACTACTCTGTGGACTCTGACGCTGCTGACCACTCCCTTCTCCTGATACTGTCTCCTGGTTTTTACTCTACATGGCTGACTGCTCCTTCTCAGTCTTCTTTGTTACCTCTTTGTCCAGCTCACACCATCTAACTGTGGGTGTTTCTCAAGGTTTTGTCCTTGGCCCTCTTCTTCCTCTATACTCTCTTGGGAATCTCAGCAGTTTCTGTGGTTTTAATTATTTCTATGCAGATGAGTTAGATACACACACACACAAAACCACACATTATAATAATTTATATTAATATATTATAATAATTTCATGTGTATGTATTTATGTGTGCATAGATACATATAGCTATCTATATCTATGGTATACATATGGATATAAATTTATATAACTGTGTATTTATGTGTGTATATGTATACGTGTGAACGAATTTCTCTCTTTCTCTCTCCTTCTTTGCCCCCCCCACCTCTCCTTACTTTCCCTCTGAATTTAATTTCTATACCACCAATGGCTTATTAGAAAATTCAAATCTAATGTCCTGGAGACATCTTAAACTCAACTTGTGTAAAAACTTAACTCATTATCTTTCCCTTATCTCATTATCTTTCCCCTCAAATTCTCCTCTTTTCCAAATTTCGCCATTTCTATGAAAGGTGCCACCATTTCACCAGTCTCCCAGGTTTGTAACTTTGGCATTATGCTGGACCCCTCACTCTCTCTCACCCAACAGATCGAGTCAGTTGACAAATTTTGCAGTTTCCACAACAGCTCTCAAATTTGACCACTCTTCACACTCACACAGCTATCAGTTTAGTTCTGGCTCTTCTCACCTCTGGCCTACACTACCATATCAGCCTCCTGATTGATCTCTCCATCTCCAGCCTCTCCCCACTCTAGTCTTTCCTAGACCCTGATGCCAAAATAATTCTTAAGCTGATCAGATCGGACCATGTAACTCCCCTACTTGGTTGCCTTCAGAGGCTTCATTTTGCCATTAGAATAAAATATAAACTCTGTTCTTTAGCTTTTAAAGCCCTACACAACCTGGTCCCAACCCATTTTTCCAGCCTCACCAGACATTACTCATATACTTTCCCACATTCTGCAGTCCAGACAAACTGGTCTTCTCTCTTCTTCACATTTGATACTCTGTATCTTCATGTGGGCATTCCTACCTTCTTGGAAAGCACTCTTTCCTGCCTTACTCCTTAGAGTTTCTCTTTTCCTTTAAGATGCAGCTCAAGCACCACCTTCTGTATAAAGTCCTTCTTAATTCCCACCAAAATACCTTGTATTTAAGTACTTTGTATTTATTCACTATATATACATATATGTACCTGACATACATAATTCTACATATAAATATTACATAAAAATAATGGGGGAGAGTCTCCCCCATTAGAATACAAGCTCGTAATGAACACAGTTTGTTTCATTCTTTGTATTTATAGCCCCAGTGCCCACCACAATACCCGGCACATAGTTGGTGCTTAATAAAATGTTTGTTAATTCACACACACACTTTTGTATAGTCCTTATTTCCATCCTTTGTATCTGTTTGGTATTAAAGTTTGTAGATGAGCTCCCCGTACACAAATACTGGTTTCTTTAGGCTTCTTCCTCTTCTATCCCTCAGTAGAATGGTTTCTCTTTGTATATTTGGAATTTCATTACTAAGAATTTCCCCATCTCTCCTAGGCTAATTTGCCCTTGTGGTTTTAGGCCATGGGATACTATTTATCCTTTTCTCTGAAAACCTTTGAAATATGTTCTCAAAAAATCCAGGGTATAGGTCAGACAAGACCCGGCTTTTTCCTCCTGCTCTACCATAATTTCTAATAGTGTTCCTTTCCTCATCTTCAGTAATAATTACTAGCATTTATATAGCGCCTCAAAGTTTGCAAAGCACTTTACAAATATTATAATGATCTGATCCTCAAAATAACCCTGGGAGGTAGGAGCATTATTATTCCCATTTTATAGGTGATGAAATTGAATAAGACAGAAGTCAAATGACTTGCCCAGGGTCACACAGCTAAAAAATATCTCAGGCTGAATTTGAGCTTAGGTCTTCCTGACTCCAGGTCTAAAACTCTCCCAGCTGCCTCCTATCTCCACAGTTCCCACCATTTCTATTTCAGCAATCTTTTTTCTTTGTTGATAGGTCCAGAATAACAGCTGCTCTTTTTGTTTCTTCTACCTTTTGAAGGATTCAATTGTTACTAAAACCAACAAAATTATTAGATGCCTTGTTTTTGGCAGAGATATCTCTAACAGATGTCTGGATAACAAAAGTCCCTCATGACTGCTTTATCATAATTTTGGGACTTCCTTACCTGTTTCGTTTTCTATTCAAGGAGTCTCGAGTATATTTTTATGACAATATTGCTTATCTTTCTGCTTCCCTGGTGATCTTCCCCAAAACATTCTCCACAATATTTTCCCCTATTTGGTTTCTGGACTTCTTCATGAACATATCGTGGAATGCTATTTCAGCCCCATACTGTTTGTAAAACGTATGCTATTTCTTTTGAACAAAGCATACTTTTCCAGAATCATATTCAGTCACATGTCTCAACTCAACAAGGTTCACTGATGCCTATGGGAGGCAGTGTGCTGTGTACTGACATCTAAAGTCACAGATTCTATTGCTGGTTCCTTTCTTGGACTTTGTCTTTTGTGAATTTCTGGACATCTCTACTACCATTCTTCCTATATTGTAATTATTCTCTATGATCCCTAGCTTGGTAGGTATGCAGATAGTTTTTTCCCTCTTCCTTCCCTTTTTCATTTAAAACCCTTCTAATTGGTTTTGTGAAGCTCAAGGCAAATACATTTTTACTAGCCCTTGTACTTTATCCATGGTCATGAACACAACACTCCCATATTTTAAGCCTTGGTTCAGGAATTTAAATCTCCATTTTCAGACACTATTTTCTTAACTATCTATACCTATAAAACAAAGAGAGGACTAGATGTTTCTAAGATCCCTTCCACTCCCAAAATCCATGATTCCATGAATCATAACCGATTTTTGCTACCTTCTTCTCTACCCTCAAAATTCCCTTTCTTAGCCCCATTTCCTCAACTGTAATGTAAGAATTCAATTCAACATGATATGGTACTTTTTTTTTTACTGGCTTAATGGCTAAAAGTCTTGGTAATGTAGGAGTATTTTATATTTTAACATCTGGTCTCTTCTTATGAAGGAGTCATTTTAGAGCTACAGAATATGTGATAAATATATTAAGATAAATATTTCTAATAAAAGTTAATTTTGGTCCTACCTGGGATGTCCAGTTTTATGGGCTGTACCAGTTCTGGCTGCTTCAGCTGATTCCCAAAGTATACAAACCACTCCTTTACTATGGGACAGGATCTGCAAGCATCTAAATAAAGACAGTCAAAATCAAAAAGCATTCATGAGTACTGACATTCACTACAGTTGAAGGTGTGATGAGAACACTCGGTGCTTTCCATCTAGATTTAACAGCCACAGCAGGGCTGGAGTCAGGCCCTATTGTTGCCGTTGAGTTGTTTCAGTTATGTCTGACTCTTTGTGACGCCACTTGGGGTTTTCTTGGCGGAGATAATGGAATGGTTTGCCATTTCCTTCTCCAGCCTATTCTACAGATGAAGAACTGAGGCAAATAGGGTTGACTGACTTGCCCAGGGTCACACAGCTAGTGAGTGTCTGAGACTAGATCTGAACTCATGAAGATGAGTCTTCCTGATTCCAAGACCCATGCTCTATCTAATGTGCCACCTCACTGCCCACAGTTAGGTCCTATTAGGTCTTCTTTCCGAGTTCCCACATCTAAGTGTGATAAAGTGTTGTTTTTTTTTTTTTTAAGCAAGTCAATGTGTGGCTTTCTGCGCTCAGAAATGTTATACTTAACAAGCCCTGGACTTGGAAGTCATACTAGGAAGAGCTAGGTTCAAGTCCCGCAACCATGTACTAGTTAGGTGACACTAAGCCAATCACTTAATTTCTCTCAGTCGTAGTTTCTTTATCTGTAAAACTGGTCCAACAATACTGGCCTTAAAATAGAATTATGAGGATTGTCAATGTGAAAACACTCTCTAAACCCCAGGGTGTTATACTTGGTGTTACACTTTAAGATACTATTTTTAAAAATTATTGTTGTTATGCGATATGTCAAAAGAAGTTAAAAATTTCAAGTCCTAAAACCTTGGCCAGTTTTTGCACTTAGAAAACATTTCTGAGATACAACAATATAGAAGAAAAGGAAGATACAAATCTAAGACACCAAATAATATGAAGAAAGCACAAAATATGTCAATAACTGCTTCGGTCAATATTCTCTCCTTGTTTCAGCAATTCACTTTTTCTTAGTCAACAAGCTTTTGTTGATAGCCTTTTCATACTTAAATGGCCTTTTAATAAATGTCTCTGGATTATTAGAATTAAAATTATAGGGTATTTATACTTCCTATATTGTAATTATTCTCTGTGATCTCTAGCTTAGTAGATATGTAGATAGTTTTTTCCCTCTCCCTTCCCTTTTCATTTAATTTCATTTATTAATAATTAATTCATAATTAATTTCAACTAATTTTTTTTGGAGACTTTATACTTTGATGTATCTATGATTTCATCAATGTTGGTATTCCTCCCCATTTGTGATGCAGATAACAATCCATATACTATTCATCTTATGCAACTCTTATGTATATACATCCTATAAAGGGAATTAGCACAATGTACTAGAGGCCTTCTTCTAGTACACTGCCTGCTGATACCAATAGAGCACACAGGCTGTTTAGTTATTTTGTATTTTTACTGTTTACATAACCTCTCTATTTCCTTTTTCACTTCTATATTTTCCTGATAAGAATATTTCTCCTTCACAATTCTGAGTTCTGTTGCCTTATTTTAAAATTTGCTTTGCACCTCTTTTTGTGGTGGCAAAGAATTGGAAAATGAGGGAATGCCCATCAATTGGGGAATGGCTGAACAAGTTGTGGTATATGAATGTAATGGAATACTACTGAAATGATGAGCAGGTGGACTTCAGAAAAACCTGAAAAGGGCTTGTATGGACTGATGCTGAGTGAAGTTAACAGAACCAGGAGAACATTGTATAGAGTAACAGCCACGTTGTGTGATGACTAATGTTGACAGACTTAGCCCTTCTCAGCAATGCAAGGATCTAAGACATCTCCAAAGGTCTCATGATGGAAAATGCTATCCATATCCAAAGAAAGAACTATGGAGTTTGAATGCAGAATGAAGCATACTATTTGCTATTTTATTTTCTTCTTTCTTGTGGTTCCTCCTATTGGTTCTAATTCTTCTTTACAACATCACTAATATGAAAATATGTTTAATAGGAATGTATATGTATAGTCTATATCAGATCATGTGCTATCTTGGGGAGGCAGGCAAGAATGGAGGGGGAGAAAAATTGAAAACTCAAAAGCTTATGGAAATAATTGTTGATAAATCAAAAATAAATTAATTTTTAAAAATTTGCTTTGCAACTACTTACCTTCAAATAAATTCCAATCTATAAATATCATAATATTCAGTCAATTTCTCTAAGCCCCAAGTGGGATTATTTTTCCATTTATTCCCATTTATTTTTCCTAGCAAGCAGTAGTTCTTCTGGTTTTGCCTTTTTTTCTTTTTGTATTTTTCATAATGATATTTCTGTATTTCTTTATTTTTTCCATATTTGTTGAACTTAATTAACATTACAAACCACAATTTATTTTCAAATTCTCCTAATTTGGACATTTAGGTTGATTTCAGTTTATTGAAATTAAAAAATATTTTATATAATTCTAGAAATGCTAGCAAAGGCATTTAGAGATGAGAAAGAGATTAAAGCAATCACATTGGTAAAGGGCAAAGAAATTACCCCTATTTGGTGGTAAAATGATGGCTTACTTAGAAAACCTCAAAGAATCAGCAAAGAAACTGAGATATTAGCTTTAGTAAGATAAAACATTAGCTTTAGCAAATTCTAGATTTTAAATTATATTACAAAGTCATAGTCATCAAAACAATTTGGTACCAGCTAAGAAATAGAGGTTTATCACAGATTAGATGTGCAACAGAAGCAAATGAGCACAGTAATATAATATTCGATAAACCCAAAGATTCCAGTTACATAGTATATCCCATATATATTTAGCTGTAAGTCACATAGCAAGATCCAGTGGTCCTAAGGCAGATGATGATACAACTTCTTTATTGGTTTTCCATTAATAAAACCATATGTTCATTCACTATTCAACAAAAACTGTTGGGAAAACTGGAAAGCAGTCTCGTAGAAACTTAGTGTAGACTAACATCACGCCATATACCAAGATAAACTCCAAATAGGTATGTGATTTAGACACAGTAGATGACATCATAAGCAAATTAAAGGAACATGGAAGAAATTACCTGTTCAATCTATAGATGGGGAAGAGCTCATGACCAAACAAGAGACAGAAATTCACAGGAGGCAAAATGAACAATTTTGAATATGTAAAATTAAAAAAGTTTTGCACAAACAAAACCAATGTGGCTAAAATTAAAAGGAAATCGTGAAATTGGGGTGAAAATCTTTGTAGCAAATTTCTCTGATAAAGGTCTCATTTCTAAGATACAAAGGGAAGTGAGTCAAATTTATAAGAGTAAAAGCCACTTCCCAATTGATAATGGTCAATGGATATGAAGAGGCAGTTTTCAGAGGAAGAAATCCAAGCTGTCAATACTCATGTGAAAAATGTTCTATATCACTATTAGAGAAATGTACATTAAAATAAGTCTGAGGTACCACCTCACATCTATCAGATTGGCAAATCTGATTAAAAAGGAAAATGACAAATGCTTGTGAGGCTATGGGAAAACAGGTACTTTAATGCACTACTGGTGGAGCTGTGAACTAATCCAACCATTCTGGAAAGCAATTTGGAACTATCCCCCAAAATCTAACAAACTGGGCATACCATGTGACCCAGTGATACCACTACTAGGTCTATGCTCCCAAAGAAATCAAAGAAAGAGGAAAAAGACTCATATGTACAAAAATAACTATTGCAGCTCTTTTTGTGGTGGCAAAGAATTAGAAACTGAAGCAGTGCTCATCAACTGGGGAATGGCTGAACAAGCTATTGTATATAAAGGTGATTAATACCATTGTGTGGTAAGAAATAATGAAGAGGGGGTTTTAGAAGAACCTGAGAAGGCTTGTATGGATTGATACAAAATGAAGTAAGCATAACCAGGAGAACAATTTCTTTTCTTTTTTTTTTTTTTGTAAGGCAATTGGGGTTAAGTGACTTGCCCAAGGTCACACAGTTAGTACGTGTCAAGTGTTTGGTCTGAGGCCGGATTTGAACTCAGGTCCTCCTGACTTCAGGGCCGGTGCTCTATCCACTGTGCCACCTAGCTGCCCCAAGAGAACAATTTCTACAATAATAACAATACTGTAAAGCTAGACAACTTCGAAACATTTAGGAACTCTGATCAACACAATAAACATGCTATCCACCTCCAGACAGAGAAATGACAGACTCAGAGTACAGAGTGAAGCATATGTTCTTAGCTATGTTTGTCTCCTAAACGTGCACCTCACTACCACTGTATTTTAAGTTCATACCTATTCTCTTTCCCCTTTAAGTCTGTGTGTTTTCTTTGGAAAGTGAGCCCCATGTTTCTGAAAAAAATGTTTTGGAACAACTATTGTTACTATGCCATTTGAACAAATGTCTTTTCTAAAAGCTAACTGGGTCTGCTGGCTGACTGAGTTTGAGTAGTCACACATAGAGTTACCCCTCTGGGAGCCCTAAGTGCCAGTGCCAGAGTAAATTTGTTGTTATAGTAAAGAGGTGGCAAGTACACAAACAAATAATGTTATTATTTAGGATTTATAGTACTTGACAGTCCTCCACTAAAATTCTACTCTAATACTTCGCTGTAGTATAGAGGTGACTATGGGTCACAGATATAACACAAGATATGACAGGTCTCAACAAAGTGGAAAGACTACTGGTATGTGCCCATTGACTAACACTGTTTATCATTCAAGAACCAGTCTAGCAAAAGTAGGAGAAGGTGGTGCATTTTTTTTAGCTACAGAAACTCATTGCGGAGGGATTGTGATCTGTATTTGGTGTAACAACAACAATAATAGCTAGCATTTATATAGTACCTACTATGTGCCAGGTATTGTGCTATGCACTTCACAAATCATTTGATCCTCACCACAACCATGGCACGCTATTCTTATCATCATCATTTTACAGTTGAGAAAACTGAGGTAAACAGAAATGAAATGACTTGCCCAAGATCACACAGCTTCTAAGTATCTAAGGCTAGATTAGAACTCAGGTATTCCTTATTCCAGGCCCAGTGTTCTATCCACTGCACCAC